ACCCGAGCTTCCAGACCCGAAACGACGGCGCTTGATTAACCTCCTCGCCGAATACCGGGATTGCTTTGCGACGTCATCGAAGGTGAGCAAAGCCACCACCGTTGAGAAGCACTGCATCATTACCGAGGATGACGTGCTCCCTGTGCATCGGTCACAATACCAAGTCTCCATAAAAGAAAAGGGGGTCATTCAGGAGAAAGTACATGAAAATGCAGAACAACGATATAATCCAGCCTTCAAGCAATCCGTGGGCCTCATCAGTAGTAGTGGTTAAGACGGAACGCTTTGGTTTTGCGGGGACTATCGGCAGCTGAACACAGTGACGAAGAGATATCTATCTACTTCCTTGCATCGACCAAATGCTAGACCGGCTGTGTCACTCTCGGTATTTTTCATCGATGGACTTGAAGAGCAGCTACTAGCAGATCGAAGTTGACAAACAGGACCGAGAGAAGATAGCCTTCGTCACGCCGGATGAACTGTAGGAGTTCAAGGTGATGCCCTTCGGACTATGCACGGCGCCAGCAACTTTCCAGCGTGTCATGGACACCGTACTGGCGAGACTGAAGTGGCAGACCTGTCTTGTCGACCTCGACGACGTCATAGCATTTTCAAGTTACTTCGACGTGCACTTGCGACGACTCCGAGCTGTTCTCCAAGTCATGCAGTCCGCCGGACTCGCACTCAAGCCGTCAGACTGTTCTTTCGCCTCTGACGAGTTGATGTTCCTAGGCCACATGGTTAGTAACATTGGCGTCTGCCCAGGCCCCAAGAAAACTCGTGCAGCCGCGGGATTTCCAGCGCAGACAGACAGAAAGGCCATGCAAAGATTCTTTGGACTTTGTGCCTACTTTCGACGTTTGTTTGGGATTTCGCAAGGATTTCTGCACCGCTCACAAACCTTACGAAAGATGCCGAGATGTTTGAATGGGCCGAGGAGCAACAGCAGGCATTTGCAGGCTGAAGCAAATACTCTAGACTTCTCCTGTTCTTAGATCCTTTGAATAGGACGCAGAAACCAAGATTCACACAGAAGCTAGTAGTGCAGGACTCGGGGCGGTACTGGGTTAAGTGCAAGGAGGCACTGAGCGAGTCATCGCCTATGCAAGTCGGACACTGTCCAAGGCGGAGAGAAATTACTCAATTGAAGAAGAATGTCTTGCGGTCTGGGAAAATCGGCATAGAAGGTTCGGTGCGTAGAGCATTCTAACCTCGAATAAGCAACAGGGTTCTCGAATTTACTAGAACTCAACATTTACAGATATAACGAAAAGGCGCGTCCACTCCCAGGCATTGAACCTTGAGCCCTTTGCATAGGAGCCAAAGACGATAACCATTCGGCCATGAGCGCGTTTGGTCGGTGACACTCGTGGCATTATAACCGGTATGAACTCTATCTACCCATAGGACTCTACATATTAAAACCATAGAGAACCATAAGACCCATATAGTACATTGGCTACAGTAGCAGCATCTTGGTAGTTTACTGGGGGCACGTTTTTCATTCATCTAAAACATCAATATCACACCAATATGCCATGTCGTGGGCAAGGTTTAGACTGGGGAACCAGCAGAGCGTTTTTGACAAAAGCAGTCAGTTACGAATGAGAGAAATTGCAGCAATGTCGCCGCTTAAATCACTTTTACCGGCGAATCTCCCTGTACTTTTAGGTTTAAAAATATTTTTGAATATTGTCACATTAGGGATGGAGGATACATAAGGAACCGAGCAGACATAATATGTACAAGCCCCCACCACGGAGGGAACCCCTAGCGGCAAACAGGTCGGTTCAATCGGGAAGCTTCTGCAGTCGCTGTGTTGGTTGTACATTGCAGCGGCAGCTGTAGTAGTGGATTAGCGGTGTAGTTTCTGAGATGGCTATTCCGCACTAAAAAAGCCAGAACAGTTGCTGCGTGGTTAGATGAAACACTAGATACAAAAATTAGCACGGCCCAAAGTTTTATGGCTTTCCCAGCTTCTCTTCGAATCTGTACGCGGCAAAGCGCCGCGCGACCTGGAGCTGGGTGCGACTTGAGCATAAATGCAACGATTCTCGAAAATGTATTTTGAAAGAAACCTATAATAAACTATTCTATTCTATTCTAAGAAGCGTTTCTCACCTTGCAGTTCACGTCTTGCTATAAGCTGCTGACGAATAATACAATAAAATTTTTCTAGCGACAATGGAACAAGGACACCTACAGCAAACCAAAATATGCAGCAAACACTTCACCAGGAAGGAGGAGCAGAACAAGGTCACCCACCCAAGCTACGACCCATCGATATTTTCATCGGCCTACAACCAAACGTTTTGGCTAAGGATTGGGAATCTGTTGCTGTCTGGAGGGCCGGAAAATATATATGTAAATATAAATGAGAAATAAGCTTAATCAAAAATCCTAAATCAGCGCCTATATACAAAATTGAGTTAGTAAAAAAAGAAGAAGTCTAAGGTGGATGAAAATATGCACTTTATTTTGAAATTCAATATTTAGCTAATTATTATATTACACAATTACTGGAAGCCAGAAAACTCACAATGCATAAATCAATGTGCATAGGAACTTCGGCATGTTCACGGACGGCAGGAGGCTAATAAGAATGACAGAAGGGATGCTGAAAATATGCAATAAGTGTTATTCACTAGCGGTCATAGCTGAGCTCGCTAATGCTGAGCATGCACTATTGGCAAGCTTCCAACATGCCTACAGGCCTTGCACTGACGTCGCATCATCATTCACTAGCGGTCATAGCTGAGCTCGCTAATGCTGAGCATGCACTATTGGCAAGCTTCCAACATGCCTACAGGCCTTGCACTGACGTCGCATCATCCATTTCGCACCACCACGGAAGACTGAGAGCAGAAAGCTGCTCTTGTACGAATTTTGAGTGACAGGTTAGTCTTCAAAAAGAGAATAGGACCGTCTGGGCGAGTCTGGAACACACAAAGGAGAGCCCTGCTGAGAAGATAATTTCTCCCTCCCCTGCCGTGCATGCATTACGAGCAGTCACCTCAAATATGGCATCCAGTGTATACCACATATAGATACGACACAGGACACAAGCACAATATACAATATAAAGAAATTTTAACATACGTAGTTGCCCTTTGGTGAACACTTTCAACTGATCTTACAAGATAAACCTCATTGGAGTTTTGTATGAAGCTGCAGTACTCTAGGTGTTGCAGGACCAAGGCTGTGAAAGGCACCTAAGTGTGTTATGGCCTGTTCTACTAGGCATGCGAAGTACAAAATTCAGCGTTCCACACGTTTTGGACAAAATTGTTGACATGCTGTGAGAAGAAATGTAGCTGAATGTTTATTGCAGGCCTTCTCAATGGTGTTCTGCAAACCCTCGTGGTTTCTGGGGTCACCTGATAAGCGGCACCAACATCCAGTTGTCCGTAACAGCAGTGGAGTCGATTGCAGAGAGGCATTATTATGAGTAATAAATATGTTGAGAACAATTGGACTGGGCACACTGTCTCACGGAACTGTCCAGCACTTGGGCCACTGGAAATGGTTCCATGGTATGTACTGCACTCTGAGCGACTCAACTTCAAGACTTCTAGTATGCACACATTTAATTCGCGTTAATGAGCACCAGTGGAGCACCGTAGGACTCAGCTTTCACGAAAGGCGGGGCAGAACTCGCAGCATAACAGCACCTTGCCATGCTTGTGGGAGGTTCATACTCCAGGTTACGGCGTCGCCAAAAGGGTAATCGGAAAGGTACCAGGACCAGCACAGCTCTACACTTCTTAGAACGATCCTTTCTGTAAGCAGTGTTCTCCACTGTATCAATCGACAAGGTGACCGCCATAAACCGAATCGTGCATCCACGTTTTACGTACCGCTAGAACCGTCGTGGGATGAGTCTCGAGAGTGAGTAAAGGTGCACCAGCTTATTCGGGACCAAGTGCCCATTTTGAGAATTACACTGAGAGTTGAAGCAACACAGAAGGCTCGCGTCTCGCAGCGTCACCTGTAGAATGACCGTTCGGAGCGTCGGGACACTGAAGGTAACACCATTCACATCGAAGAGCTCACCACTGAAGAAGGCCTACCGAGTTTTTAAGAGCCACTAATCGTAGTAATCGCATTCCAAAGACGCCGGGTTGTCGTAGATTGCCTTTCACCAGCTAGGTCATGTAGGGCTGAGGCCAAGGCTGGGGGATCCGACGCCGGAAACGTGCAGGAGCCAAGCAGACGACGTGAGGCTCGCGGAGTCCGAGCCACGATCCGAGAAGCCCTAGTTGCAGCCTTGCCTCCGAGAAGACTGGATATTCTTTCCGGCGGGCACACAATACTTAGACAGCACGCCTGCGGCTGATGCGGATCGCAAGAGGTGGATAACAGGACGATCAGTGAACAGCCAATAGGTCCAGCACGGCACAGAGCACGAACAGAGACGATTGTCGCCGCCATGTTAAAATAAAACGAGGCTGAGCCAGGCCAAGCTTTAGTTTAGTACACGCATACTTTATTACAAATAAATATATAAATGTTGAAACAGTTTTTATTTATGTTTAAAATTTGTAATGTAAGTCGATTAAAACAGGAACATTTACGTTGCGTCAAATGAGTTTCGTCGTAACACCTGTCGTCAAACCAGCGAACGTCGCCGCATCGCCATCGCCATCGTCACCAAAATCAAAAACAAACCAAGCTGCAAACTCTCGGGCCACCGTATTTCGGGCGGTTTCAGGCCTTTAGGCTTACGGAAAAACATCGAAGAACGTTCTGGAAGAAACAAAGTGTCCCAGGTGCCGGCGTGCCCATAGAGCCAGCTGTGGGTTTCAGTCTACTTGGTGAGTACTTTTCCAGCCCTTTCTTTTCGGAGCGTGTATGGCGTGTTCTTGTGTGTGCAGGCAGCGTGAAAGCGGACGTGTGCGGTTCCTTGTCGCACACATTCTTTGCGCATTGGATGACCCTCAAGCTTTTTCCAAGGAAGTACCGGAACCGACCTGTCACTGAGCGAGCAGTCAAATGGCGGGAACGGACCCAGAGGCAAGGTCCCACGGGGGCGTGGGGCGCCGAGCGAGGCGCTTGGTGAGTGATCGGGGAGCTTTATCTCTTAGATCGGTGTTCAAGGCTTGAGTCCTGCAAATCGGGTGGTGGCTTGGTACCACCTAGCTAGGCGGTGTGTTTTGCGGAACCCATGACTGCTGAAGGTACCAGTTTGCGTCCTAGCGCTCGTATTTGCACCCCGTTTGTTTCCTCTGTGGGAGGTCGGATCCAAGTTCGATTTTCGTCCTGGGAAACTACTCGAAATATTGCGTGACCTGCGCCTTTGGAAGTACCGTCTGTATTGGTGACGTTGCTTGCGAAGAGTATAAGGAGTTATTTTTCGACTGTGGCACTGACTTTTTATACAAAGTGCTGTATATGTAGCGCTCATTTACTAACCCTCTGGCAATACTTTATTGTGAAGGTCGGGAGAAAAAAAACGCGCATTGAGTAGTGCCAAACAACAGAAAAAAAAGGTGTTCCAAACAACTTGAGGAGACCATGAGCTGATTTTCAAGCTACTGCCTCCTCAGCTTTCCTCCTCAGTTCATAAGCAAAGTAAGAAATCATGTGGTCTTATTTCACTGGAACCCAAAGTTTTCGCAGCAGTCTGAGAGTCAGCGAGAACAAAGCCTTTGATAAAATTCACGCTTTACATTTTTGCAAGCACCAACAGCCAAAAAGTATAAATTACGTGTAAGCGATTGAGCGAGCGAAGCGACAAGCAATGGCAACCATTTTGCTATCACTCAGTCAGTCTCGCGACAAGGTAATCGCTTGAAAGCGATGGGAGCAAGCAGTCAAGTAATTGAGCGACTTTTTCTAGAAATTCAGAAACCGAGCTACAGTGACAAGTCTCAGTTGCTCGTCTCGTTGCTTGCTAAACCGCTTACATGCGTTTCAGCCTTTATTGTGCGAATGCGAGAGAGACGTGCCACGAGTGAGTGCTGTGTTGCCAATCATTTCATTTAATTTATTTTCACCTTAAAGGGCAACTCCGCTCGATTTCGGAAATTTTGAGATAATGGGTGATATAAACGTAAAAAGTACTTCAAAAGAACCCTAGACCGTTTGTCTAATTAAAAGCAAAATATATTTCGTGCGATCTTGTTATTTACCATACTCGCAAACCGAAACTGAAACTTCGGCACAGCCGGGCAACATTGTACCCTCAACGTCAGTTGCATACGCAGCCACGTGGAATACAAGGGGTCACGTGATCTACCAGCTAGGGAAAGGGCGAGGAGTGAGGAGGGAGGACGCGGCGGCGAACAGGCAACGCAAGCAGCGACGAAGCAGGCTATGTAGGCGGCAACCCAGGCGGTTAGCAAATAGTATTTGCGGTTAGTCTGTTGGCACCGGTTGGCACGTATGTCAGCGAAACTCATCCCGTACAACTCTCTCTCCCTCGTTTTGTTTCTCTTGTTCTCGTTCATTTCTTTTTTCTTCATCTGTCTCGCCTCTTTGCTTCCTCAAACGTGGAGCGCGTCCGTAGCGCCGCCTGGTAAGCTCTCCCTGGAAAACAAAATACCAAGAAAAAAACTGCGTATGCAACAGACGTCAGTCAAAACGGAAATACAACGTTGGCTGCGCCGCACGTCGCCCGCTAAATTAGCGGATTTTGGTGACTTCGCGCGTCTCAGTTTTTGTCGGCCGGTTTAGTGATCTTTTAGGCGGTATTACGTTATAATATTTGACATTCGGTCTCTCTAGATGATACTAAAGAGGGTCGCAGTGTTTTTTAACAACCGAGAATGAAGCGGAGTTTCCCTTTAAGGGCATGGTCAGGATTCGTGCAGTGTGCAACTCGTGCACTGGCACTTACATGCCATTGTTATACAAATAAAGACAAACAAGAAAAGGAAGCTCATTAATCATACACAGTGGCAATAAAATACTTTTAACAAGAAAAATGGATCCGTAAGCTTGCTAGAAATACTTCTGGGATTACGATGGTGGATGGTAGGCTGTTCCAGTCGCAGATGGCTTGAGAAAGGAAAGACTGATTGAATGCGTTTGTGGAACTGGAAATACAAGATGATGTTCATTCCGGAGGTGATAACAAAGAGTTCTTGAGGTCGGGGCAATGATAGTCGACTTTATGAAGGAGGCAGAGGCGAGATAGCTTTATGCCGAGCTGCAAAGAATTCACTTCTAAGTACCTCTCCTTTCAGGGCTCTATTGCCATTTGCTTACAAGTGCTGCATGGGCCTCGTGCACTGGCACTTACACGCCAGTTCCAAAACTAACACAAACACGTCAGGGGGTTTTAGGCGGGTTAGCCATCCTACAAAATGGTGCTGCTCAGTTAATTTATATGAAGTTCAAAATGAACAGCACTCTTCATTGATGGCTGATTCATACGACGAACTGATCCACACAAAGGAGCACACTCACAAACGACAGGCAGGACGTACCAAACATGTTCGCGGCCCCACACTGCTGAGAAACTCTAACATTGTGCGATCACACTGTGACACAGTTGTCACAAATCGAAATCAACATTTTCTACTTTAAGGAAAGAACTCTGCGCCACTGTTACGTGCAGAGGGAGACTTAACACAATGATAGGCTTAGTGCGAAGCACCATTAGCTTTACTAAACAAAGTCATGATAAAAACAAGCGTAGTCCTACTCGAGGAGACTTTGGCGTAGAAGCGACGAAGTCCTGGGCTCGCCACGGGGCATTTGGAGACGCCTTCACTCACTCCGTGCTTGCGCCTTCAATACACCACAGCCACAAGAAAGTAGGGGTGCCGCAAACTTTTGGCAAACCGGATTTTTAGGTCGAGCATTTGGGGTTCGACTGTGTCAAACCGGTTCGACAAACCTTCGAAACTTTTAACCAGATTTGACTTGTTCGACTTTGTGGACAGCGTGGCAAGACCATGATACAAGCATGCCTAGGTCTACAAAAATTGTGTTTCACTCAAAAGGTTATTTTAATTTTATAAACAGTTGCAAATAAAAGAAACTAACTCTAACTACTGAACAAGTTAATAACTTACTTTTTTGTACTGTATTAACTGGAATAACCAATAGGTGCTGCCCTTAATTCATCCCTTAGCCATCACCATCCAATCCGAAGCCAACTGGCCAGCATGTCGCGCGTGCGAACAGCAGTCGAACATTTTTCTAACTTTTCGCAAGAAGTTGGAAAAAGTCGAACCTGGTCAAACTCGAACGTCGGCTGGTTTGTGACACCCCTACAAGAAAGGTCTTGCTGGCTGAACGGTTCATTGGAGATGCAAAGCGCTTCCGTCGTTCTAGACACGATTTGACAGAAGCTTTTTGACGCAGATGAATACCAGAATCTGCACCGTGTCAGCCCGGCAAAGTTCCTCATACCAACTTTTTTGATATGAGAAATGGAATGAAAGAATGTTTTGTGGCAATAGTTAGGGTCATTTTGCTTTAAAAGTCTTACTTCCAATTTTCAGAAAGGCACAAGCATTGGAGACCAGCTGCCTCCACAATCATGCCCCCCCTGCTTTCCCGGTAGTTGCTGTTGGTGAGTAACCTGAGCCTTTGTCTTTTCTACCTTTCTAATAGAAATGAATGGTTCTTCCACACGTGCTAAAGTGAGAAGTATGCTACTGCTATGTTTTTCAGTTTTGTAACCCTTTATTTCCTCAGACCAAAAATTTTTCTTCAGCTTGGTTCAGATGCCCAATACATTCATGGAATATTGTGTCCAGAAATTTCAATTGTGCATTGTGTGTATGTTTGGGGGGGGGGGGGGGGGAGCTTACTTCGCTGGTCCATTTGGTAGACAGGACATTGTGAGAAAGAGAAGTGTAGATAAAATACAAGTGCAAGTACTTGTATTTTAGACATGAAAAAATTAGAATATGAAACAATATGACGTCCTGTCTTCCTCTTTCTTGTTACTTTCTGTAACCTAGTCTTGTGACTTAGAATCATATACTACTACATAAGATTCAATGACATGGAAGGTACTGCAGCTCCTTAAACCCTTAAAAAACACATGCAAAGGAAAAAAAACATTTTTTTTTAAAACAGCCTTGATGGAAAAAGATTGCTTTAGAACAAATTTACAACGAAAAAATACAATTTTTAGAGCTATATTTATGGCGCAAAACGAATTTGTAGTTGGCGCCCGTGAGAGCCGTCGCTGGTCACGTGTTAGACCTGTGCACCGCCGCGCTGTGTCGCCGAAGCCGCGGAGACCCGCTGCCGCCGCATGCTAAGCACTGTGCGCTGCCGCTCCAATGCATTTCTCTACGGCGGCGCCGCCGTCGTCGTGCAAGTTTGTGTGCTCTGGGGTGCCGCCGCCGTCATCTTACCGGTGCACAGGTTTATTACGTCTGCTTGCGCTTTTTCAGGAGCTTCCTTTGGGCTCTAAAAGTAACTTATTAATCTTTGTTTTTTGTTGCACTTCAATTGAAGATGAATAAGTAACTTTTCGAGACCATACGAAGCATCCGAAAGAGTGCAAGTACCGTAGAATACTGTGCATCCGCCCACACCACACTAAGCGCCCATTCCCAAATTTGTAGGATCTTAGAAAATACACAAAGTACATTTTTTCCATTTTTTCACGATTATCTCCAAAGTTTGAGTGGGCGCTTGCTCGGTATTTTACGGTACCATGTGACAAATAGCGGCCAATCACGTGATAAATAAGGGCCACTTCTCCGCGGTGCCCGCGGGCGCCAACTACAAATTCGTTTAGCGCCGTAAATATAGCTCTAAAAATTTTTCTTTTTCGTTGTAAATTTGTTTTATGACTTCCTTTTCCTAATCCGGCTGTTTAAAAAAAAAGTTTGCTTTCTTTGCATGTGTCCTTTAACTGTTTTAAGCAAGCCTAGCTCTTCCACCTAGAGCCGTTCCCTAGGGGTTTAGGAGGAATGTAGCACGTCCACGCATCCTACCTTGCCCCTTGGCTGTTTTGGACGTCCCAGGCCCGCTCCGAGCTTATTTTGCGGTGCAGCTGAGAGATGGCAGCACGCATATTTTTATTGTACACGTTTTTAAGGATGGCGACCGATTGTGGAGGCACGTGCGGCCCAAGCCGCACAAACTTTAAAAAAAGAAAAAAAAAAAAAAAATTTAGGATGAAAAACTGTAAAACAAAAACCGGTTAAGTGGTTAAGGTGAATATTGTGCGACATCATTATGCAGTTTCCTTGTTTCTTCGAGAATATCTAATTGGATACGAAACACATTTTCATGACGTGCAGGCAACGTCAACAAAAATGTTAAGTGATTGCAGACTCCGCAGTCCATCTGTGGCTGATTTACACGACGTGCTAATCCGCGGATGGGTTTATCACGTGACAAGACGTCCATGGAACGTTAGTCCCCCAAGCGCATCCACACTAAGGAGACGAGCAGGCGACAGCGAGGACATACTATACCTATTCGCAGCCTTGCAATTTTGCAAAACGCCTACATCGCAGTGTGGCACTGTTTTCCAAGAGCAGAAGTGATGTTTGCGACTAGGATCACGGTGCTATGATGAAGAGGAATCGTTGTGTGCCGCTGTTACATACCAAGTGGGCTAAAACATAGTTGCAGGCTTAGAGCGAAGTGTCACTTACTTTACTAACGACATGACACAAGTATGATCCTGCTTCAGGAGGCTTCAGCATCATAGCGATAAAGTCCTGGGGTCGCGGAGAGGCATTCGGAAATACCTTTACACACTGCTCGCTTGTGCACCACTCTTCAGCACAAGCCATAAGAAAGGTCTTGCTGGATGGAAAACTGGGTGGATCTGCAGGACAGATTGCAGCATGCTAGGCGAGTTTTGACAAGCTTCTTGACACCAACCCGGAGGAGTACCAGGACCTGTGGCGTGTCAGCCGGGCAAAGTTCTTGCAGCTTCTTTCACGCGTGGAGATTTAAGAGTGGCGCGACAAAGCAATGATCCACTCTCTTTGTTTGACTGATTTGAAAACAAAAATATTCGTGAGCTGTTGCTACTCCACCATAAAAACGCTTTTCGAGTTACTCACTTGCCAAAAATCTGCGATTAAGGAGGCACTCTGCCCTTTCAGTATGGGTGTCCGCGGACGAGGGACAAATCTCAGGAATAGCCTACATGATGGCAACTTGACAAATGGTGCACGGATGAAAATTGCAATTCGATGTATCATGTGAATTTGCCATTATTTGGCAATTATCCTAATATGATCAGTTGATCCTAATTAAGAAAGAACAATTGTTTTCTGAAACAATGTAATGAAAGGAGGTTTTTATAAATAATGCCTGCTCATAATGGAAAAGGCTTGGTGGATCAGAGACTTTCCATAGATCAGATATTACGAATTGCAGGCGTATGCTTAATTGAGAGAAGAGTAAAAGTACAGGCAAGGGTGGTGAATTGCATACATAACTAAACCTGAGACGCCGGAAGAAGGACGCGAAAAAGAGAACATCAAACACAACACGTCTCAACCACAGCTGCATTTTTTTTTTTTACTTCTTAGTCGGTGGGTTGACTTTGGCAAGTGTGGGAACGTTGAGGGCAGTTCTTTTTTCCCCCTTGCTGACAATCTGGGGGTGTGACTTAGTGTGAGGGTTCTTGGCATTGACTGCGGTGTACCCCTATAAAATGGTGTGGTTTTAGTATGAACCTGCAGCTGTGTTCGAGACATTATGTGTGTCGTCCTCTTTTTTGTGTCCTCCTTTTTCCTTCTTCCGGTGTCTCATATTTAGTTATATATGCTTAATCCATGCTCAAAGTGAAGACATGAGCTTGTGCTGGCATTGCCAACCTTGTGTGCATGGTCTATGAAAAGTGCTTAATGACTGTGGTTAAGAGAGAGGAGTTTCTGCTTTCAAGAACAGCATGGGGTGAATGGAAAAGTGTTCTCACAAACAATGAATTCTCCGGGTTACCCACTCAGTCTAACGGAAGGATGTAGGATAAGCATTTTGAATTCTTTAGGATTTGCCAAGGGATAAAAAAAAATGCACAGAAAAGTAGGGGGAGGAGAATGGCACAAACATTTTGGGGCTTGTGTTCTTACATTTGAATTTTTTGTGCAGGAAGCATTAAGGCCCGTTCACACTCTTGCAACCGAGTATGACCGTGAGAGACGAGACCAGTTTTCAAGCCACTTGCAATCTCTTAGAACCAGCTGCGTTCTGGCGCATCCCGTCCTAAGAACTCGCAAAAGGCTTAAAAACCGGTCTGGTCTCTCTCGGTCTTACTCGGTCACAAGAGTGTGAACGGCACTTTACTGAAACAGCACTTCAGTCCTGGGGGCAATAAGTCATTGCTAGTCAATACCTGATTCCACTGATGCATATCAGGCAAACACCTCTTAAAGGGGCACTGACACCCCAAAGGTCGTATTTATTTTTATTGTCTAAAACGATGCAAGTTGCAGTCATAGACACGCAAAAAAAAAAACGCATCGCAAAAAAAAAATTTTTGCGCGCGCGCGCGCCTTTTTATTTTTGGCGTTTGATTTTCCCGCCTCTTGCCTCCTCGCTTCTTTTGATCGGTGACGTCAAAAATCAGGAGATTTAGAAGCTTTGTAGGCGACATCTCTATAACATTTAATTACGGCAATCCTAAAACATGTTTTTTAACGCAATTGCGAACGCACTACGGCCCTTCTTTTTGAAATACCAAAAATCGGGAGTTTGTTGTGGTGCCGTCTCCTGGATTTGTATCCTCAAACGGAAAACAGGCGACACCGCTCAAAACCGGTCCGTCGCAACGCCGCCGCTCGCTCCTTTCCTCCTCGCTTTGGGTCGCCATGGCAACAGCAGGGAGTGGTGAAAGAAAGTCGACTCTCAGGTCTCCGCAATTTTTGACGTCAAGGCACCGGCGCCGATCGCGCGGGAACTTCGAATTCGGCATTTGGAAATTGTTTTTTTACTTCACAAATACTGAATTCCCAAATTTCAAATTTTGAGGGTAATGTCCCGGCATCGTTTTCAATAATTTGGGTAATAAAAAAAAAAATAATGATTTTGATGTGTCAGTGCCCCTTTAAAGGGCCCCTGGAAAAAAAAAGTTTTTTTGAACAGTTTGATAAGGACACTCGTGCCAAAAAATAAATTTTATGCGAAAATAATTAATTTTTTAGAGCAATATTGACGGCAAGAAATTTATTTTAAATTCTGCGCGCAAAGTCCATGACGTCCCGGAATGGTCATTCGCTCTCGCCACCTCAACACAAAGGCGAAGCTGATCTCCCTCTCCTCTACTCGCTCGAAGTGCCCAGAGGAAACAGGTGGAAAGGAGGTGACTACCGACTAAATTGCGTCTCGCGCCGTCAATATTGCTCTGACCAATTTTTTTTTCACATAAAATTAATTATTTGACACGTGTGTCCCAACAAGTCTGTTTAAAAACAACATTTGTTTTTCTTTTCTGGGGCCCTTTACTGAAACAACTTTGCTCTCATTGTTCTAATTTAACACTATTGTGGGAAATGACTTTCAGGAAGCATGAACTGCAAAATTCGCACGTGAAAAGGATTGGTAATTTTTAACAAGATGTTTTGTCTCTTCCAGTTGTACCAAAAAGTGCATAAGGGGTGGACATTACTTAACCATCATTTCAATCCTGGGGACATGGAGTCATTGCTAACCAGGACCGGTCACTGCTAGCCAAAACAAGACTTCATAGGTGCATATCAGGTTAGTACTTTTTTCTGGTATTTATTTTTTTATTTTAACGAGAAAACCTTGAAATGTAGAACAGTAATTCTTTCAGAATATACATAGTTTCTAATTTCCAGAGAATTGAGCTCATCTTTCTGAAGTTCCAAATCAAAAGCACAGGCTGTAACCTATTTTTGCCAAACATCTTGCAGTTTTGTTGGTTTGCTTTTCATAATGAACGATTCAACTCTGTTGGTGCAAGGGCATCGATAGATTTCTGGAACCATTAAACACAGATGGAGCACCTTATCTGGCGTGTGGCTTGTTAAAGGGATACTGAACCGAAATTTGAATTTCGCGAAATAAGGCTCTAGAAGCGTTGAACAGGACTCTACGAACTCCAAAACATTACTCGTACATCGATATCTCAAACAGATCGCTGCACTTTTGGAAAAGAAGGGCACGATCAAGCGAGGTCTTTGACATCACTGTTCTCCGGGAGAATTTGAGAATGAGGGGAAGCGGCCTCGCTTCTCTCCTCCTCGCTTCGGTTCACCAGCTTGACACGGGACGTAGCGAGGAGGAGAGGGAATAAGAATCGTGACGTGCCTTGTCTCGTCGGCCTCCTCGGCCGGGCACTTCTTTTCTAAAAATATGGCGATCCGTTAGAGATATCGCTGTATGAGTGATGTTCTTGGGTTTTGCACCGTCCCGCCTATCTGTCCAGCCTTGTTTTGTGAGTTCAAATTTTCTGTTCAGTATCCCTTTAACCTCGAGGTGTATGTCCTATGCCTTCTTCCAGGTGCTGGGCATGTTGAGTTTGCGATCCTTTACCCTTACTCCGAGTGCAGCAACTATACTCTGTGTTTCACAATAACTTGACGAGCTGTGGAGGCTGCGGCCTTCCCGACCCAATAAGAGCGTCGAAGCAAGGCACGTGACAGCAACCCCATGGTTGAGGTCGCTGTCGAATCGCTTGGTTGAGATTGCTGTCGAATCGTTTTTACGAATCGCCTACAATTGCTGAAAAAGTAGGTCCCGTAAACAATTCCGGTAAAGTGTAAACACATTGGAATCTATATGGAGATCCCACTGCATCGCAAAAATTAGAACCCGCGAATTATTTCAAAACTTCAGCTTCGACCTTAATTGCGAAATATGGAGCCCGCGAAAAATAAGTCTGCAGTAAGCACAAATAAAGTTATTTCCTTATGAATTCCAGGATTTGAGTGTTTCTGGCTTACATTTGTCTAGTCTAAACTAAAATTTTGTGCTTAATGGACTGCAGGGATGATTTACTTAACTAAAAGTTCCTGTTCATGCATAGAATAATTTATTAATTATACTATACTAAGATTATGTGGCTACACTTCCATTAAAGGTGTAGGGAAACGAAATTTCAGCGCTCATTTTCTAGCTTTAATGTGTTGCATGTTGCACCCTAACCTCAAAATCACCAGTGTTCCGTTGAAAAGCACAAGAAAACTAATTTTAAGGGGGAACACTACTCCGGAAGGCTAACTTTTGAACCGATTGTCTTATTTGCATGAAATTTGCAGGGTGTACTCAGGGCACTGGACAAAGATGCCGTGGAAATGTTCAACCCTATAAATTTATCCCACGATGAGTTACATAAAAGTTCATAATAAAAAAAGTGTATCTGCTGAGGAAAGCTATTGTTTAGAAAGGGTAATGAAAATGGCCAGTTTTTTTTGCTGGAACATACAGCAGAATACTTGCTTCAGACAACTATGAAAAGAAATTTCAAAAATTATAAAATTTATTCACAAAAAAAAAAATATGGAAAAAAATATTTTTTTTGGTGTACATTTGATTAAAAGAAATATAAACTTTTCATAACAAAAGAGCAGAAAAATGCAGAAAGTAAGTTCACAGTCGTGTTCTCCAGAAAATTTCGATATAGAAAAACCAAAATATATCTGCACGCATAATTTGATAATGAAATGATAGCTTCCCTGAACTGATATTTGACACTGAAAAGTGAACCTGAGATAAATGCACTTGAAGTTTCATGATAACGCTTTAAAAATTAATTTTTGCGTCTTAAATGTCAGAAATTCTTTCCACCATTGTAGGTGATGTCTTCTTGAAACGTCTTCTGATATACTGACATTGCTTTCAGCTATTTTCCCTTGTGGATGACGAGTGCTACGCAGTGCAGCACACCTCACCAACATATAAAGAATAATTTTTTGTGACACTGTTTGTTAGCGCACATTGACAAGGCTTTGTGAGAGTGTTTTTTGTCATCCATACATGCCAAAACTTTGAAAGTTCTAAATATGCATTTTTAAAAAAAAAAGGTGCAATTCAAGGTAGTGTCCCCCCTTAAAGCTAAATAAACGACTTTCAATGTGCACCTGGTGGATGCATTCTGTTATGATCGGCCACCCAGAGAGCAGGTTCGGCTTCCTGGCAGCGCCATCGACCTCCCATCGACTGACCAGAGTCTCGGGCTCGGCATTCTGGCGCCGCCGAACATGCTGACCGACGCGGCGTGGGTGGGGTGCAGCTTCCGAGCGACGCCGAGCGGGCCACCCGGCACAGCGGGAGCTGACCCCCCTGACACCCCGCTGAGAAACAGAGGCCCGCTTCCTCTGCCTTCGGACCGGGTGCTAACGAACGATGGAGACAAGTGGAGACGTTTGGGTCTCGGCGTATGATCGGGACAGCTGCCTGTTCCTGCGTTCTTCTGGGAAACGGGACGAGAGGGATGCTTGGACCGGGGTGTGACCACGTGGGAGGTCTGCGTCCCGGGAGACTGCAGAGACGTCCCGTGGTGACGAAAGTTGTATGCTATGTAAGTTGACGAAAGTTGTATGTTATGTATTTTCCGTCATGCGGTGATGTATTGCCTGGATAAATGTTTGTGATTGTTTTCAAAATGTGAAAGTTGCAGAAGGTAGATGATTTTAAATATTAGGTCAGTCATAAAATTTAAGTCAATAGACCCTTTTCCAACGTCAGTGCGAACGCCTGTCCGCCATTGCTTGCTCTCATACTCTGAGCATATACTGAAAGCGAGCCCTGCGTCAGCGTTCAGCGAGAACTCAGATCCAGTCACGCACTTCGTGAGCAAGCAGTACTGACAGCCATTGTTGCTTGATAGACTTTTGAAAAGGGTTTACTGACTAGATTGATATTGTACAAATTATTTTACGAGAACATGTAATGTGACTGTCGGTTTTGTTTACATTACTTTCAGATGCCCCGACGGAGGTGCGTCAGCCTGTGACCAACTGGGAAAGCAGATGCAGCTCGCCTCAAAGAATTGCCTCATTAGCATGCACGAGCTACTTCAAAGCCTGAGACTGGAGGACAAATAAACGAGCCTGCGGGTGGAATGCATGTTCACAATTTCTCGAAGTTCGAGCATTTCTCTGTGCATGCACTTTCTGCTATCTGGCATAGGCTTTAAAAGGAAAGTGTTTCCCTGCTGAACTTCATGTTTCACTGATGAGTGAACCATGTGGTTAACACGATCGATATACACCAATACGCGGCTCTGACGTAACGTTGCTACGGTGGCGCTGCTACTGTTAGGGCGCATGTGCAGACGCTTTACGTCACGTGAATGTCGCTCTTGCGCACACGCAGTGCTTGCACCTCGTGTAGAAACTGAATTTGTTCACACCTCGTGAAAGCTTGTTGGTAAATAGTGCGTTGGCCTATAGATCATATCAACGATTTAAACTGCATGAACAATATCATCCATAACAACCATAGGCCATACAAACCATATGGACCATACAAACCGTACCAACCCGTATCAACCATATGACCCGTACCAACCGTATGAACCATATGACCCGTACCAACCGTATGAACCATATGACCCATACGAACCATATGACCCGTACCAACCATATGACCCGTACCAACCGTATGACCCGTACCAACCGTATGACCCGTATCCCATAACGCTATATGAAGACCCGTATGGAAAATTCATATGGTTTTTTTCAGTAGGGGCGAACCACCCTAGGGTCGATTTCGAAAGGTTTCGATATTTTCGACCCGAACTGATGCTCGAATTCGAAAGGCTTCTATATTTTCGACTATACGGAGGTTTGAAATCGAAAAATTCGCAGCTTTCCTAAATCGCGGGGTTTCGAAATCGAAAAGTTCGAAGCTTTCACGGTTTCTAAAAGTTGGGGTCGATTATTTCGAATTTTTGTTTACTTGAGGTTGGATAAATTTAAAGATTTCGAACTTCCCTAATTTGAAATTCGAGAGATTTGAACGTTTCGAATTGCTTTAGATCTAAAATTAGAGCGTTTCGAATTTTTAAAGACAAAGGTCGATAAATTCCAAGATTTCGATTTTCTTTTTACATAAAGTTCGAAAAGGTCGAAGGTTTCGATTCTCTTTCAAAACAAAATTAAAAAAAAAAAACTTTTAAGGTTTTAAATTTTTTTGATGTCCAAGTGCGCAAAGTTCGAAGTCGGGTTTTCATGTTCCGCCACCAGTTTCAGTTTCAAATAACGTTTTCACGCCACACTGGTTTTCACAAAATCAGGTTTAGAAAAGTTCGGGTGTGATATTTAGACTGCGCGAAGTTGGTCAGGCAATTAAATGAGACGACGAGTGTCCGGGATGTGCTGGAATATTTGCCAGTGCAGAGTGACCTGTGACAATAGATCAGTAATTGTGACCGCCAGCCCGGGGTGGTCATTAACGTGCATCACGAAGTAGTGATTCTACGAACGCACTGTTTAACGATACTCATCCAGTTCAAAACGGCCGGGGGCAGGCAGGTGGTTGAGGCTCAGAGAAACCTTGAAGTGATCTGGCAAACTGCCCCCCTACCCCCTTGCAGGCTGGTAGTAATCCGATCAAACGCCGCCCGAGTGACGCTGGCCATAGCCTCCAGAGGAGACTATGCGCTGGCATATAGTAAGTTTAGTTTGTACATGATGCAAAATCCTGAGACTGGGAATGAAATTTTGAAGAAAAAGTGTAACAAGGCAGAAAGAAAGGGACAGGACAACGCCTCAAACTCAGCTCTG